CCCCCCCTTCCCCCCACGCACGACTACAACAAAAGCATCCCGGAAGCAACAGATTAGGACTCCAATGTGTGAACTATGTCTTTCATGGTGAGGGGGACGGGACTAGGAATGGTAACTGGGTCAATTATTGGCTCAGGTGTCGAAAAAGTCAGTTGTGTTGAGCTTTCTGGTGGGACAGTGGACGAGACTTCCAAGGAATTCAAATTTGCTTACAAGTCACCGCTAAGGCCGCTTTCCAACGAGTGAAGTAACCACATTATAATCCGCTGATTGCATTTTCTTACGTTGGTCTTTGCTCAACGACTGATGCCGTTATCAACTAGCCGTGGCAATACTCCAAGTTGTGAAGACGTTTGATTTTAATTCGAGTCGACCCCGTCCTCGAGCTGGGGGTTCATACTAGTTCGCGCAGTCCATGTGGCGGTCTGATCGTCCAAGAGGCGCTCTCCACTGTGGGCAGGTTATAAGATGTGGTTATTAACCAGCTGAAGGGTTGGAAGTTGTTGAACTATGCCGCACGGGAAGACGAAGGACATTTAGGTGACCACTTCCAGCTTTTTAGCCATGGCACGTAGATCGCCACTCCGTTGGGATGGACTTGCAGAGTGTCTGCTTCATTCATCTTACTCCGACGGTCAGAGGGTGACAAGAAACAGCAAGAGTCGTGCGAGAGCGCAGTGACTGACAAAGGTAAACTGGCCGTCTACGCGTGCCACACACCGTCTGGCTTAACTGCGTGTGTCAGGTTTCCCTTAAGGCGACTTGGATCTCACATGCGTCAGAGATCTATATGAAAACTGCATTAAGGAGGAGCTACTGGGGCCGGGATCTCAGTTTCTGGAACGACCGAGTTATCCCGTCATTCGGAAGCCTTCCACGCCACAATCGGTAACGCGTCGTGATAGATTCAGACTTATCATAGTGGAGAATGCGCTGGTGTATCGTGGATCACCCAGCGTTGCCTTACTTCCTCTTCACCCTTCGCTTTACTAGCTCGTCGACTAAGGGAGTATTTGATTGGACCCAGTGGCTGACGCGGCCTTGAGACATGCGCCTAAGGCCTGCAAGCACATGCTTGTGCGACAGGGATCATGGCCACTTGTGAACTCAGCGCTGCCGGACAAACGTGCCCGACGAGGCAATGTGGCACACGCTTTGGTCCTGTATGTCCGTAGAGCAGCTTTTTTGAGGGGAGGGAATGTTTGCGCATTACTTCAGGTTTCTCATACACAGAATACAGTGAGTGGCGGATCTCATGAAATGTTGGCCAAAATTCTGAAATGCGTCTTCTACTACTGGCGCATGCATTCCGCTTAAGGAACATCATATATTTCACTGTGTCTTTACAAAGATACCATACAGAGTTCATACAGTCTTACAATGGATGCGGACTATGTTGTACATTTCATGTGGAACATTGGCAAACGGGCAGGTACGCTGCTGCATGAACTGACTTTCGGCGGTTTTTAAAAATCCCGTAATTAAAAACTTCTTTAAAACCTAAATATACCTTTTCTTCGGGTATGACATGTAAAGACAACGCAATTTTCTAGCGAACGAGTAAAATTGAGCATATTTTTGTGCATGTTTTCTATACAATATATTTGCATTTATAGGACCATCGAAAATCCATGTGGAAAATGCACGCTACTTAAGTAGCCATTTCTACCAACTGCGGCTTCTGCAGCAGGACAAAAAGAAGTGCATTCAGAAGCCAACAAACTGGCGAGTCCGAAACATTGTAGAATTATTCCGCCTGATAAACAATATTACAAACCCACCTAAGTAATCCTTCCTAATCGAAAACGCATTTCAGAATTTCAGCCAACATTTCATGAGATCGGTCACTCACCGTATGTCCGAATGAGGTTGGCCCAAGTTCCTTCAATAATTTCTGACGACCGTATGAATTTAGATTTGGTAGCTCGATTGCTGACAGGAATCCCTTAGGGAACATCGGGGATGCCAGTTTGGTATCCGAGTCCCTGGAAACTGCTTCACATACCTGTAGAAAAATCAGCGAAACATGCGTCAGGATTTTTGGCTCACGACACTGTTCGGAGTGAGGTGAGGTGACTCCTATTCAGCTTGCTGTCATCGCTTAAGTTGACTTTGAGCGATAATCGAATGCCAACCCCCCTACGGTGCATTTTTTCAGGGCGGGCCGGTCTTTTTTCTCCGGGTGAACAAATACGGCAGACTCCTGAAGGAATATGGTCAGCTTTGAAAGGTATTCTTGGAAGCTTTCGACGGAAATGTCCAGCTGACGCCGTGAATGGCCAGAACCCGCTTCTATGCGCACGGTTTTCAAGTGGGTTCTACGGGTAGGAGTTACGGCAAGGACCAGACTGCAGTGCCTTCCACTCTGAAACGAGGCTCGAGCCCCTTTTTCTAATGTAGCACAGTACTAATTAATAATAATACTATTTTTTATCAAACACCCGCTGGGGACCCATCAAGAGCGTGTGTGGCACGCGTAGACGGTTTTGTTAGCAATTTCGTGTACTTCTACCGCCAGTCACCCTGAAATTGATTTAGCATCAGAGAAAGTGAGTAAAGTGAAGGCACGCGCAAGTGGTTACCGTTGGTGAAGCAGCGTGTACTTCCGTTTTAAGTCGCCAGCACATCATTTTGCCATCGAAGCAAGTGGGTGAGGTGAAAACAAGTGGAAGTGTTCGCCGTTGGTGAGGCAGCGGTGGATATTTTCGGCTTTGAGTATCAAGAAGACACAAAAATCCTACCTTTCACAGATAGCGACTGTTAGCGAGTATGGAGATTCGCTATTTCGCCAGCAGAATGATAACCACGCAGTTAATGGTGTCGAAGTCTTCTCTAACTGTCGATCGTATTTGTTAAAAATCTGTTCCTCCCTCCGCGCCATATATCATTTCCATCCAGCTACTGCTCTTTTATTAACCAGCCTCGTCCAAACCTCACTGCATCTAATTGGCAGGATTCAGATGATCATGTTTTCCTTCAGTTCGGGTCAGACTTCCTTCTGACAGCTTGTATATGGAGTGTGTACTTTAGAACAACTCGCGTGGACGCAGGGAGTGACTTGGGTCTTCCTTTGAAAACTTCAACCTATTAAAGTTTTCCGTCCTAGTTTATTCTTCTACTGTCTCTATTAGAAAGCATCGTCAAGATTTTCCCGCCAAAAATAGCAAATTTACACGCAAATAAGAGATTAAAGGTGAGGAAAAAGCAAGCCTTCATGCAGAAGGCCATTTTTTCCCGGGACCTTGCTATCCCGAATTTTGTCTTGTTTTCCGCTTGGAATACTTTATCTTGTGAGTTATTCGGCCAAAACCGTGTCAGGCCTGCAACGCGTTGACTGCCTCTGCGGTACGTTAAGTTTTGACGAATACCCTAATAAAACACGGAGAAGTTCGAAATGCCAGAAAAGATCGGAAGGAAAATGCGTGGTTTTTATCCGCAAGCCCCAAGCCTCCTAGCTACGCAGAGCATCCATAAAACAAATAGAGGTCAAGCGAAGATGTTCGCGGAATAACTGTTCAGCGACATACTCCCTACCATGGTTGCTAATGCCATGCTTCTTCCCGTCGAATCCCGAATAATGTGCATTTCCTGTTGTTATTATTAGCTTCTTAGTTATTTGTCATGCCCACTTTGCTTTGCATTTGCTGCGGCGCCGTGTTATTTTTTCGTAAATGGGAAGAGTGAGTGTTGGCCGGTAAGTTGAAAGAAATCTGGCGAGAAACCGAACGTCAGCCGGATCGGAGAATGCTGATTGGTCGACCGCGCGCACATCTTTGAGCCAGTCTGGTCGTCGCGACCGTCGCACCGCACTGTGATTGGTCGGCTAACTGTCGTTTGTTCTGTTGCCGACACCCAATAAAATGTCAAATTCCCTGCTGACGCCGCACTTCTGTTCGCTATGCGGTCGGTGAAAGCAAGAGGTCACGAAGCCAACGGGTTAAACACGTTAATAGCAGGCAAGTTAAAACATATGCCTTTCCAAAAAATACAAAATTGTGCAATACAGATTCGACACTACTTCCATCTCCATACAGCAATAATGAATGGGTGTGGTTATAATTAAGAGTTTTAAAAAAATCAAGTAAAAGTTGAAGTTTAGACCAGGGGTTCTGCATAAGCGACTCCTTGTTTTTTAGTCATGTTTTTTGGATTATATAATTTTGAATGCCCATATCCATTTGCAGATGAGACTTCATGGAATCATTCGGTGTCGCCATCGATAATGCTCCCGAACAAAAAGTTCCGCGTCTCCTCCACTCCCAGTAGGGAGAACAAACGTCTTGGTGGATCTGATGCGCGGACTGGAATTGATCGGATGCTGCAGTTGCCATTACACAGACCGGACTGCCTCCTCTCTCCCTCCGCGCCCCTCGACTCTTCCTCGAGCGATCCTGCAACCTGGCCGTCAACTCTGGAAGATGCGTCTGTAACCGTCCCAGGGCACAGTCACTACCAGTCTCCGCCATCGTTGTCATCGTCTAGCGGGGCTTTGGATCTGCGAGTTAACAAGTGGAAGACACAGGATGCCAGTCCACTCTCCCCCACCAACACGGTATCGCCCCAGGCGCTGGGGTCGCCAGGCCTCCCCCTGCCTGCCAATTTCAACGACCCACCGATTGCAATCAGCTGGAACCTTGCCCTGGTAAACGCCTTCTTTCGAGGCTTTCTCCAACGCCGGCTCTCACCCCCGGAGTCTGCGCCCTACGCCACGCCCTACTGCTCTACCGGGCCTCCCATCGAGGCTGCACCGTCGATGGCCATTTCGACAGTACCGAAGACGTTGGAGCCGTCACGTAGGGATCCATCCTTAGAGAGTCCGCATGTCATTTCCGAGGGAGAGGTAAATGGCGACTTTGGAAGGCGGGATGTCGGGCGATTCGCCTCCCCACCTAATGTCTCATCCACCCTCACCTCCGACGGTGGCAAGGAATCGGTGATCTTCTACGACCCCGAACCGGCCGACCGCGTGCAGAAGATCAGGGTGAGCGCAGGACTAATTTCTGAGTTTTAATCACATAATGTGTCTAATGTACTGTCCAAAACATCCACGCGCTTTCTGTCATGGCTGTAAAGTGGAACCCGCCGATTTTGGCCTCCGATCATTCGCTCTGGTTGCATGCTTGTCTTCCAGCCCTTATTACTTAATCGGACTGATAATGGTCATCCCCACCGCTCGGGGTCCCTGAGGGATTTCTGGGGTTTCCTATCGCTTTTTCTGCCTTTCACCAAAATAAAGGTTACGATCTCATGCATATTCTGGGAGGGACGTTCACGGGGTTATTCCCTAACGTTGCGTTTTGTGGGTCCTCGCAGACAGTCGTAGAGCAGTGGGCTCAAGCCATGGCATTCTATGCTCCCATATCTCTGTCTGTTCTCCCTTCTGTATCGTTGCTGGTTGCCATGTCAGTGAGTCTCAAGAAACAATAGGATGACTTGATCCCACCACTTGGTCGGTGAACGTCTCCTCTCATGATAGCGACTATCCCCGATCTCAACCTTCAGGACAACGAACCAATGGCTCCACAACGGAGCAGTAGACTTGTGAGCACTCAGTGACCGAATAAGCCCGGTTCCAGTCCAACTTATTGGTACTGCATCAAGCGATTACTATTTAGTCCAAACGGTCGTTGTCAAACTGCCTGAGATGTAAACATCACTGCGTTTTCGTCCCAGTGCAATAGCGTTGCGGATGGATGCTTCGGAAACAACTGTGCAAGAATCCTGCTATCCTCGCATATCAGATAATTTATTATCAACGTTTTGCCCCGAGTATATCAGTTATTTGTATAAACGGAAATATATTCCCGTTTTTAAAAAACAGGAACTACTGCGCAACCGAGACCCCAGACTCAAGTACGTCAATGACGGGGCTGCCATTAAGAACCCCTTCGCCGTCGACCGCAAGGTGCAGATCAGTGTGCTGACCGAGATGCTTTGTGAGTTACTCACTCTCTCTCTCTCTCTCTCTCTCTCTCTCTTTCTTGAATTGCCAATGGCTTCTAAAAGCACAATCTAAATTAAAATGCCTATTTATTCTGCCTTATTTAGTTAAAGGCAACAATTGTGTGCTTCATATGGTAAATTTCTAGCATGAGTGAGCACGATTCTAAGCGTTGTCAGTTGGCGAGCTGATGGCGGCTATCAAGTCCATCTTGTCTTCATTTGTACATCTTATATGGAAATGGTCAACCTAGACTCCACTGTCTTTGTAGGCAATTCCGTACTGCATATATCAGCTCAATCTTTATCTTCAATTATATCTTACCCAAGCCCGAAGTGTGGTTATATTTTAACAAACTGACAAAACAGGCATGGGGGACGTGGCGGTAGTTAACAGACTGCGGGGGCTTGTTGCAGCTGTTTTAAGATTCTGGAAATGTACGATTCAGGAAATGTACGATTCAGGAAATGTACGAAACCACACACGTTCACTTACTCCACGAATGTTTATCGAAAGTGCCACTTGTTGATGTATCAGATATATATAAAACGATCCTAAAATAGAGGTAATTTATCTGAGTACGACAAAAGTCTCACACGAAACGTTCGGATCGAAAAATGACCCAATCATTATTGTCTCCTTTAATACCAGTCCCAGTCGTGACCTTCGACTCAGACCAAAACTGCGAGGGTTACCAGTATTCGGAGCACAAGTGTTCTTGACCAGTCTTGTTTAAACAGAATGACTTTGTCGACGAAGGGGGTCCCCTGAACATCTCTATCAGGAGTTCGCAGACATTAATCGAAGTTCCTGCAGCTGAGCATTGCTTTATGCCCAAAAAGCCATTTCTTCAGTATGCTGTCGGCGGAATCCTTAGTAATATCATCTTCTTTATCAAACCGCTGAACTGCAACTTCTGGTTTTTTCATATTTTCGCACAACATCATAGTCAGCCAGGTCATTAGTTGATATGTGTAATCTGCCACTCTACAGCACTCCTGAATGGAAACCGTTTTTCAAACAGTTTTGAATGCGATCCGGCAGGATTACTGACGTTGGAAGCTTGGAGTTGACCCTAAAAGTCATGCCCCATGTACTTGACTCCAAGTCCTTCCCTTAGCAATTTGCTTCGCACTCGTATCTGGAGTTCATGTATGACTGAAGCCATATAGGGGACGCCGGAGGAAGGCAAAATTTCGAGTTCCAGGTGTATGCATATTTGAAGAAGAAGAAGAGTCGAGCATCGGAACACTTCGTTTATTATCCTGAGCTTTCAGACTCGTACAGGAGTCCATCGTCAGAGGAAGTGGCAGAAACAGGATAAACGGCAGTCAATCGATTTATCGATCTGGCGCCGGCGTACAGAGCCCTTCGTAGTCACCTCCAGTCGTGCGACGTCGATCGATGATTGGGGCCTACGTGCCTTATAACTGCCGTTTATCCTGTTTCTGCCACTTCCTCTGACGATGGACTCCTGTACGAGTCTGAAAGCTCAGGATAATAAACGAAGTGTTCCGATGCTCGACTCTTCTTCTTCTTCAAATATGACTGAAGCCATATAGGGGACGCCGGAGGACTCACTGAGGAGGGCGACTGCCGATGTTGAGAAAGCGTCAATACCACCGTCACATAAGTGAAGGCAGACGCCATCAGTTAGTCGACCAGACAACGTACCCTGGAACGGTATCAGACTCCTGCTCCCTCCGCCCCCCCCCCCCTCCAAGTGCGTGCGGTTGGTTTGAGCTTCCCATGCTCTGTTTCTGCTTCGCAAAGAAGGTATACTTCATCTCCAGCGACTATCCTGCCGAACTTCTAAGGGGATCATCTTGCGCGTTTAAGGTTGATCATTTGAGTCAATACTGTGTGGGCCATTTGTGATAGTGCGGAGTTCTAGGTAATATCTGGAAGCCAGTCTTTTTGTAGTTTGACACAACCCCGATTTATATCACACTCGGTCCCTCTGAACATGTTCTGACTGATAATTGTGAAGAGTAATTGTTAGTAGTCATAAAAATATTGCTGCTGCCCCTACTCGGTTACTCAGAGGGGATTCTCGATGGCACCTGCGTGTGGCCTAGAGCTTTTCCACAGACATCATTCATTGGCAGACCCCGGCACCCTGCAGTCTTGGGAGTTGGCCCCCTGAGGTAAGAGCCACTAAGTGACGATGAGGGGATTACTTTTAACTACTGATCAACATGAACTTCCGGGCGCCAGCACGGGAAGGGGGGGGGGGTGGAGACGACTGATTTGTAGCCTAAGGGGCGACAACAGCCATTTGTGCTAGCTAGAACTCTACAATTCCCGATCATCTACTTGTGGAGTTGACGATGCACCTTTGAATTTTCTGGCGTTAAACGTGAGGCGGGGGTGGGGGGGGGGAGGTTTGAGCACAGGCCGTGAGGACAGATGTCTGCACCTTCCGATGCCAGAAGTTTGCGCGCTGGGCCCTACCGTGCGCATTACACTGAGGTCGCCCCGACACCAGCCGGAACTCTTGAATACATTTACCGCTCTTTAGCATTCGTCAACTCCCCGCGTAAATGGTGACGGGCTTGACCTCGCACACATTACGTAAGTACGTACGACAGCGAGGCATTTGCACTCAACTGCGAGTTGGAACCACGTGCCTCGAGTGGTCGCGGGGCAGGCCACTTTGTAACTAGGGCCCCGGCTTAATCAAAATTCTGGAAACCCCGGTTAACCAACGCAGAAAAGGACACGGTGACCAACCGCAGAACGGCCGCACTGGGGGACGCGCTCGCGTCGGCTTCTGTGCTCGCGCGCGCGGGGGGGGGGAGTTGGAAGTAGCCTCACAAAGTCTGGATGCCATCAGCAGCGCGCAGACAAGGTTGGCCGTTGTGAGTCTATTAACTGTCCAAACGGCCACCGTCTGGGAGGGAGTTGGCTCAACAGATCAGCCGCCCCACGTCGAATCGGCCGGTCAGCTCAAAGTGTTAATGAGAACGACAGCGATGTGATGACGTCGGCGACAGTTGCCACGGTCGGCTCACACCTCCGGTGGGTGGGCCGTAGTGACAGTGATGGAGGCCATTCGTTCCGTTCTGCGTTTCATCATAAGTAGCCGCAGAGTTATCAGGGAGGTGGGGGAGGGGAGGGCAATAAGAGGGGCAGGGGCCGAGCGCAGCTTAGTGGGGGGTGCCGCCCCGCTGGTCAGCTTTAACTTTTAGCGCCAGTCTCTCCCACCGCCCCAAGGGGGCCACAACTGGCCGCTAGAAGTCACTAAAAAGCTGTCCTGAGGGCTGACGCTCTTCGGGTCGTCGACGTCCTACTTTTTTCATATTTGTCCCGTTTTGACTTCTTCGCATACCTCCCTCCTCCTCCTCCTCCTCCTCCTCCTCACTCACTCACTCACTCACTCACTCCCTCCCTCCCTCCTCTTCGTTACTATTTCTACTACTACTACTACTACTACTACTACTACTACTACTACTACTACTGCTACTACTACTACTACTACTACTACTACTACTACTACTACTATTACTACTACTACTACTACTACTACTACTACTACTACTACTACTACTACTACTACTACTGCTACTACTACTACTACTACTGCTACTACTGCTACTGCTAATACTGCCACTACTACTACTGTTACTACTTCTACCACCACCACCACCACCGCCGCCGCCGCCACCACCTCCTCCTCCCTCCTATTCGTCACTATTACTACTACTGCTATTATTATTATTACTAATACTACTATCGCTCCTCGCCCCCATTGTCTTCGTTCTTTCTGTCCTTCTCTCAGTACGCTTAAGTACACATCACATGCGACAGTTCCCTGCGAAAGGCGAAGATCTGTTTCGTTAAAAAAAAAACTCTAAATTCACCAACGGGATCTAGAAAAGCACAGATACCTGGCAGGACAGTTGGTCTGTTGCAGGCGCCGGGGGACGCAGAGGGTTCGAGTCAGTTTTTTTAGTGAAGCATGCTTTCGAAGCATCTGTCACACTCGAGCACTTTCCACACTCAGCGCACTTTACTGGCGCTGATCAGGTTTAAACATTTCCCGGAAAGCAGAATGTGCTAATTTCAATCGCTCTCCGCACGACTTCACCCCGCCTAAATCGAACACACTCAACTTGCGGAATACATTTTGACAGTGAAACCGAACGCTGCAAGCCATTTCAGCTGGTGCTTTAATTGGTGGTCAACCGCATTAATTTTCGCCCTATGTTCATCTGTAATAATGCTCAAATGATTATTGGACAAGGTTTTTTTTCAAACAAAAGTGGCGATCGTAACAGACCCCGCCGCCTTTACCTAACACACAAACCGCACATCAAGCGTAATATCTTTCTCACCTGCACGCCGGTTAGGGCATAATTGTATCGGCAGTCAAATTCCACCCATTTGCAGCGGTATAATGGACATGCCAGCTCACCGCGGTAAGCAGACCGGGTGGGGGGGGGGGGGGGGGGGCAGGGAAGATTACAAGCTCGTCTATGGAGCATCCCTCCAGGAGCTCGGCATATACAGTGCGTGACCTATCTCACGAAATCGTATAACGGAAACTCATGAGAGAATTTCTAGACGCCTTTAACGATGGGCATTTTGTTCGCTCCTTCACTTATTTCAATAAAATGTCCTTCTCTGAAACTCAGCGTAATCCAAAACGAAGGAAAAGTGTAAATTAGTTTAACGGAAGAAAAGTTCCCTCTATACACAAAATGGTATGTTTAAGATGACGCCTGTCCGTTCTATTTAAATTTATGAGGCACCGACCGGCCACACAGCATGTCACCTTTTGAAAACTGTTGTTCCTACGACGTCCCAATCGGCGAAACCAAGCAACTTCCAGATTCTCTTGTTGAACCCCATCTCATTTACTTCAAACAAATAAGAAAAAAACAGGACTCACTGGAAAACTGTTTCGGAATTTACACCCAGAATATAGGGAGTTGACAAATCGTCATATATGGAATCACGCTACTTATTAAACGATATTTAGATGTAAACTTCACTAAAACACTGTTATTATACGTTAATTCATGTCTACTTTCATATTTATTACCTTTTGGTATGATAATACATTCTGTACATCTAAAAACGAAGTTTAATTAATTAGAGCCATTTCTGACGTTTCCGGGAAATTACGCTTTTCAAAATAAATTGGCATTTCTAAATAACGCAACACTGCCTTTCATATTTCTCGTATGCTGTTAATTCTTTTGAACTTGTACCTAATTAACATAGACATTGGACTCATTAAATGGTGTCGGTTTGCGAGGGATTGGTAATCATTCGTAAATTTTGACAAATTCCAAGATTTAAGTCATTAATTGCATTGATTAGACGCAGGATCGTGTGTGGCACGCGTAGACGGTTTGTCTACTGAGTCTGAACCCTTCTACTGTCATCTTGACACTTTCCTGCCATCAGATCAGGATGAATGGCCGACGAGAGAGAAAGAGAGAGTACGATGGATGCTACGCAAGTTACCGGCGGACGTCGTCATTGGCGATGGAGGTTACGCGACATTTCAGGGGGAGAAAAGTGGCCCGAATAAAGTTAACCATTTTGGGTCCACCTGTCCGGGTTTTTTAATGAGTGACAATATTCCCTGCATCTTTTGTCCTTCAGGCTACGTCAACGAGCAGGGCCAATATACCTGCCGCGGCTGCGATCGAGTGTCCCCCCGGCTGCGTTCCATGCAACAGCATCTCCTGTCGCATAGTGCAAGCAAATTCAACCTCTGCGTCCAGTGCCTGAAGGGCTTCAACGACAAATACGATATGAAACGCCATACGCGGAAGCACACCTGTGAGTTGCTTGAATGAAAAATCGAAGAACCTCGAATTAATTTCGAGAGAAGCGGGAGACTCAGGGGCTGTATATTTCTGGCCTACCTAGGATCATTGGTCCTCTATACCGAATGTACCCGATGCACGAACCCTTGGTCTAATTACTCTAGAGGGCCTACGCCTTGTAGCCTACGATGGGGACTGTTCAAGTTGCTTGGGAGTGACCTTGATCGACCCGTCTGAAACAAGTATGCAAGCCATGTGTGATGAACGCCATTCTCAAAGGAGTATGATTAGAATCCAGGGGATGTGATGCGCTCGTCTGTCTCCCGCTGTATGCCTGGTAGGTGCAGTTGAATATACCGCAATGAACTAAAAGTCGTGGTTTGAAGGTAACTAGGCCTTCCAAGATGCAATGGCTGCTCCTTAATAGGGCCGCTATGGCAACTTTCACGTCTATAAGCGTCGAGGCCACCTTTTCGCGAAAGACTGTCTCATGGAAAGGTATCTACCGGGAATATATGTATATATTGAGATGAGTCTTCACGAAGAGAAGGGGGACTTGGGCACCTATTTTGTCGTCGTCAGCTAATCTTACCCAAACCTAGGTCTTGGCCGTGTCTGCACCTCAGACTCGCGCTCTTTGGTCGTCAAACGTCATTGCGTTCAACACAGTGTGTGACTGTCTGCCCTGGGCCTCAAGGCACAGTGAGGGGAGCAGGTCCCCTAACCCGATTGGTGGGGGCATCCTCAACCTAGCCTATTTTCGCCCTACAACTGGAACGTGGCGGGGGCAGTGGAAGGAAGTGAAGAAGACTCTGTGCATGTCCGCTTTGTTATATATATACATCAACTTGCGAGTCGCTACTGCGCCCTTGGGGGCAGTTCAATGGGAAACATGGCAGTTAGTCAACTGCCCAACGTTTTACGTACTGCAAAGCGGTGTTAAGAGAATTAGATGTAATTTTCCCCTTTCTCCATTATTCGGGATACGATTGACTTAAGCAATGACGCCGATCACTGACTAAGAAATTGAAACACAGGTAGCGGATGCGATCGTGAATATGCCATCTTTCGCATACTACAGTGCGTGACCGATCTCAGGAAATGTTGGGCAAAATTCTGGAATGCGTTTCCGATTAGAAAGGATTACTTAAATGGGGTTGTTATGCAGCATAACCCTATAACATTTCGGACTCAACAGGATGTCGGCTTTTGAAGGCATTTCTTTTTGAGCTCCTGCAGAAACCACACTCGGTAAAAAATGACTACTTACGTAGCATGCATTTGCCCTATTGATTTTCGATGGTCTTATAAATTCAAATATATTTTACAGAAAACATGCACAAAGATATGCTTTCTTTTGTTCATTTGGTAGGAAATCACATTGTCGTCATATTTTATACCCGAAGAAACTGTGTATTTAAGTTTTAAAAAAGTTTCCCAATTCCCGAATAATTTTCAGCCTGATCTGCCATTGCATCAGCGTTTAAAAAGTTCAGTCTACAAGGTGCATGCTTTCCGTGTAAGGAAAATCATATATTTGTCTATGCCTTTAAGAAGATACCACATAGAGTTTACGAAATTTTGCAATGTATCCGGACTGTGTTGTACATTTCATGAGGGGCATTAGTAAACGGACATGTGAGGTCTTGCGTGCATGAACATCGCACGGTCTTAAAAATCTCATAATTATAAACTTTTTTAAAACGTACATGCAAACTTTCTTCGGGCATGAACTATGAAGAAAATATGATTTCCTACCAAATGAGCAAAAGAAAGCATATTTTTTATCTATGTTTTATGCAAAATATGTTTGAATTTGTAAGACAACTGAAAATCAATAGGAAAAATGTATGCTACTTGGGTAGCCATTTCTTACCAAGTGTGGTTTCTGCAGGACGTCAGAAAGAAGTGTATTCAAAAGCCGACACCCTGGCGAGTCCGAAACGTTATAGGGTTATTCTGCATGATAATCAGTATAACAACTCCACTTAAGTAATCCTTCCTAATCGGAAACGCATTCCAAAATTTTAGCGAACATTTCAAGAGGACGGTCACACACTGTAAGACAATTTTCCTTCCGTAAAATTACTCCGTGGTTTTTGATACCGGTGAAATTTGTCGGCAGTCCTTGGAAGGTCAGCAAATACTTGATAGTTTTACGTGTTCTCCGTCGACTCTACTAGATGATAAATTCTGTGTTTTATTTTTAGCAAGACGATAGGCCACGCGAACAGTACGGGTGGCTCAATGTCAAATTTAGAGGAGATTATGGTGTAGGTTTGGAGTAAAGGATAGGGGAATGACAATAGGTACCCTTACTGGAATTTAGCGTAAGGCCACCTGTGTTGCTTGGGAGCGGGAGGGGGGTGCCTACTTTCGTGTCATACCATAAAAATATCAAAAATTAAACGATCGATTTGTCGATCTGGCGCCGGCTTACAGAGCCCTGCGCAGTCACCTCCGGTCTTGTGCCGTCGGTCGATGATTGGCTAACACGCCCCATAACTGTCGCTTGTTCTGTTGCTGCCGATATCTTTGACGATGCACTCCTGCAAGAGGTAGAAAACCCAGAACAATAAACTGACTGTCCCGGTGCGCGACCGCCCTTCTTCTTCTTCTTCTTCTTCTTCTTCTTCTTCTTCTTCTTCTTCTTCTTCTTCTTCTCCCTCTTCAATTCCTAAAGGGATTTGCCCAGGTAGTGAGTCCTCGGACGTTAGTTTTTGCACAGATAGTAGTTTGTTTAATCCATCAGCCGAGAAAACAGTTATATTACAGCACCGTCTGTAGTCCTCGAAAGTGTACCGACCTGGATGACTTGGACCTCGTCTCCTCGCATGTTGTCTTAAAGTCCGACGACGTCGTCATCAATTCACGTTAACTTCCAATCCTGTTGATTGTTCCTTCGAGTCTCTCCTTCGGAGGTTAATGTAGAAGGCATCCCGTAGCCTTTACTTCTCCATCTAAGGCGCTCCTTGCACAGCGCCTGTCTCGCCATCTCGTGCACCTATGCATTTGCGCCCAGACACACAGGTTGTTTTGTCTTCGTTCACTCCCAGCCTGCCTTTCCTGCCTGCCTAGTTGTGAAGCCCTACCGATGTCCGGAGTGCAGTCGCAGTTTCACCCAACGCTGTTCCCTTGAGGGCCATCGCAAGAAGATTCATCACGTCCGACTGGACTATGCTCGAAACGAGCGCCGGGAGTCGGTGCGTGTGTGCGAACGATGCGGCTTCTCCTGTGCCGAGCTGGCCGATCTCCTCCAGCACACGGAGAGCCTGCATCCGGGGGACCCCGGACTGCCCCGACTCCGACGTCAACTAGCCCGTCAGCAGCAACAGCAGAAGGAGCGCAGGACCTGACTGTGGAACTTCCAACTCACGTTGTTACGCACACATGTTTTCGCCACTTACACACACACACCACCCCCGCCCACACCTTCCCCCTCCCCTCACCAGCACTGGCTGCTTTACCCTGCACAGAACCAGATGTGATCACTTTTTTGCTCTTAAATCTATCAGCACAGATTATTTTGCAGCATTTCTAGTAACCACAGAACTCAGTGTGGTAAAGAAACTGGGCTTTGCTTAGAATAGGGA